ACGGTTATGAAATTTACAAGCAATTTGAGAAATAAATTACTATAAATATGTGAATGCAAAAAAGTAGTAATTATGTGTGTAACGGACCGTTTTGCCCAAAAGAGGTTACAAACCGTTTAGGCGATAATCCCCTTTCCCATAGACCAGCAGCTATTGCAATCACCAACCTCCCGAACTTCAAACTGTACGAATCCCCAACTCACGAACAAGAAATACACGAACTCTGGAAGCAGCCGAACAGGAAAAGCAATACGAACGGCTTACACTCCTGGCAGTCAGCACACAATCCAATTCCCCCAATAACGAGACGACACTTCGTTTTGAGGGTTAAGCAGAATCTAAGGATTTATTCACACAGCCTCCTTTTAAGACATTCTCCCATGCAAGGGAGGGATCACAACAATTAGTACCCCAGCCAATAATGTACCAGTTACCTCCCACACATCTCCTCCCCTTAGTGTGACACATAATCCCATTAGTACAGACACAAATTCCCTGGGATACTGGATGTACCCCTAAACATAGGAATACCCCTTTAAATGTTACATCCCCTGGTAACCCTGATCTGGGTGAGACACATATCCAAAAATCACCCAGATCGGACCAGGGGTTCAGGAATTAGAAAGGGTTAAAGTTTTGACCGACTGCATGGCAAAAGTATCCGAAAATAGTTCCATGTATTTTGGCCCTGCAGTCGGTCACAGAAAAGGCAATCAAACACACGAATGGCCTGTGTTACAGAGCTTGGGGAGGATTCGTATGAATCCCCCTGTTCGTGGGATCCTTTCTACCGAACGGCGGGCCGTTCGGTAGTTTCTGCACGAATTGCTGGAAGTCTGGAGGTCTCAGCGGTGTTTGCTTAGTCAAGTGTCCGATTTTAGTTCCAGACACTCGACGGCAAAACACCGCTGTTCGGGAGTTTAAGATGGCCGCCGCCACGTGTTCGTTTCCCGAATGGCGGCCACCCAGAGGACACAACACACATTACACATATTGCCAATTACCCATTTGCAACATTGTTGCAAACGGTAATTGGAGGCACACTTACTCCCGGGTGGTCTGGTTGTTCGGTAGTTTCACCCAATATAATGAATGAAGTGATTCTACCGAACAATCAGGGGAATGCTGCATTCACATAACACTTTATACCGAACACATAATATCAGATACAGCCTGAATGCAATTTGCTACACAGTCTTAAAAAGGCATTATTCCTAACAGGCAGAATATGTTCACGGATGGCCCTTAAAGGGCCAGTAGCAGCAATATAAGAATGTCACATGCCCAAATATTGCATACAAAAGTACGAATTCACAAGGGGGCCATAGTCAGATGGCAGGAGGCTGGCAACCAGGCTTCTCCAGTGCATAGTGGCGAGGTTGGTTTCGCCACAATGTGTTAATGTCCCTCTGTGTGTACTTCTTGTCTTCCAACATTGTTTAAATGATACATTGCACCCTGTGAGTGACTTCATTAGTCCCATTTCCCCATGGTAGATATCATTGTATTTGCCTATATGACCTGGACAATTCTGGTTTGCAATTTGGTTAATATAACCATTTGACAAATCTTTCCTTACTGAGCATGTGTTGCAGTGCCTCAGCAGCCTCTGGGGTGGGTGATTTGATTTACATGATGTATGCCATGTTTAATAGCACGGAATGTGGCACAGGTCAAGGGGAATTATGTGTGCCACAGAAATGAGGATTTGTGTTGCAAATAAACTCATGATGCAGCTCTTTCTTAGTGAAAGGGTCTGATTATGCTTGCTCTTTTAAAACTAATTTTGTTGGTTGCAAGGTCAGTTTCAGTTAAGTAGTGAAACAGATCTAGGCTTTGTACTGGTTAAACCACTGTTAAATAATAAATTTTGCTTCCTATTTGTTGATCCATCCCACAAATAGCAGTGAGATGGAAAGTCTGTACACAAATGCCTATTTTTTTGCACAAAAAGAGCCCTATCACTTTGTTTGGTTATCTAACAGGACATTGCTTGGGTCATAATATACCCAGGGCTTGAGACCAAAACAAGACTTGTGATCCCTGTTTAAAGCACCACCACTGGCCCCTCCTAAACTTCATGCAAGATACAAATGTAAAGATACACACTAAAAATTAAATACACAAAGCCATAGATTCACAAACACACAGGCATATAGACATGCACACACAGGAACACAAATACAGTGCCCTCCACTAATATTGGCACTCTTGGTAAATATAGGCAAAGAAGGCTGTGAAAAGGTGTCTTTATTGTTTAACCTTTTGATATTTTGTTTAAAAAATACACAAAGATACTCTGCTCTCATGGATATCAAACAATTGTAAACACAACACAAAATTAGCCAAAAATAAAATAAAGAACCTTTCTTAAATAAATGTGTGGCACAATTCATTAATGAATTCATTAGAGAAAAATATATTTGAAGTACATTACTTTTTAAAATTTTTTTAGTAAACCTGGGTGACTAGGAAACATTTTTTTATTAAAGGGGTATAACACATAGACCAAATACCTTTAGTCAACTATCACAAGGAATATAACATTGATGTGTGGCGAAAGGTTGTTGAGCTTCTCAAAATGGGAAATGGCTAAAAGAAAATAGTAAAAGCATTGGAAATGCCAAATTCCACCATAAGGGCAATAGTTAAGAAGTTCCAGTCAACAGTAAAAGTTATGAATCAACCTGGAAGAGGACGTGTGTCTATACAGTCTCAACGCATTGTGAAGAGGATGTTTTGAGTAGCCAGAAATATCCAAGGATCACAGCTTGAGAATTGCAGAAGTTAGTTGCATCTTGGGATCAGAAAGTCTCCAAAATTACATCACTATCAAATATCAACAGATATTAAATGAACATTGACTTTCAAATCCTACTCCCACCTTCACTTCCTTTCTATCCTTCTGCTCCTAGCAGCTAGTGATGTCTCTCCAAACCCCGGTACCATCTCAGCAAACCCACCACGTACTGACACAAGGAACCACACAAATCTCACACCCATCTCATGTTACTCTTTCTCTAAATCCTCCTTCAATACTGCCCTCTGGAATGCACGATCTGTTTGCAATATTGGCAGTATTGAAGGCCATCTCCACATACAAAACTCACCTCTGCCTTGAATGCTGCAGCCCTGTACGTTGATGTTCCACTACTACCTGTATGCTGATGTTCCACTACCACCTGTACGCTGATGGTATATCATGATATATATCTCTCCTCCCCGGACCTCTCCCCAGCCATCCTGCAAAGTGTCACTGCTTGCCTTTCTTCCATCTCTGACTGGATGTCCTACTGCTTTCTGATATTCAGTCTCTCTAAAACTGAGCTCCTTGTCTTTCCTCCTGCTAATACTGATCCTCTTCTTTCACTCTCCCTTCAAGTTAGTGGTATCCACATAAGTTCATCCTTGCAAGCACGCTGTCTATGCGTCATACTTGACTCTGGCCTCACCTTTGAGCCTCACATCCAGTATGTTGCCAAATCCTGTAGATTCCATCTTAAAAACATAGCCTGCATCCGCCCCTTTCTTACACAAGATGCTACCAAGGAGCTTGTCCATGTAACCTTCTACTAATTGGTCTTCCCAAAAGCCATATTGCCCCACTACAGTCTGTACTGAATGCTGCCGCCAGACTGATTTTCCTCTCTAGTCTGTCCTCTCACACCTTACCCTTCTGCCAGTCCTTACATTGGCTTCCTGTGTCCTATGGTAGTCAATTCAAAGTGCTAACCCATACCTATAAAGCACTGAACAATTCTAGCCCCTCTTATATCTCTTTTTACTAGATCCATAGGTATGCCCCTTCTCGGTCTCTCTGCTCTGACCATGACCTTCTCCTCTCTGATGCTCGTACCTGTACGGCCAACTCACGCTTGCAGGACGGCTCGTGGGTGGCTCCCTTCCTATGGAATAACCTGTCTACCGCCATCAGACTCTCCCCTAGTCTTCAATCGTTTAAGAAGTGACTTAAAACCCATCTCTCTAGGAAAGCTTATGGCCTCCCAGAGTAAACTCTACCTCACATACACGTCTCTTGCGCTCTCCATGAGACGGCATGGTAGCCCAGGAATGAGAATAACCCCCATAATGGCATACCATTTGAAAAAGTAGACAACCCAAGGTATTGAAAGTGGGGTATGTTTAGTCTTTTTTCGTAGCCACTTAGTCACAAACACTGGCCAAAGTTAGCGATCATATTTGTTTTTGTGTGAAAAAAGCAAAAAAACTAATATTTGGCCAGTGTTTGTGACTAAGTGGATACTAAGAAAGACTGGACATACCCCACTTGCAATACCTCGGGTTCTCTACTTTTGCAAATGGTATGCCATCATGGGGTAATTCTCATTCCTGGGCTACCAAACGCTCTCAAAGGCAACATAACCAATCTGGCAAATTTCAATGTCAAAAAAATGAAATGCAAGCCTTATATGTGACTCTCTAACTTTCCAAAACACCATAAAACCTGTACATGGGGGGTACTGTTATTCTCAGGAGACTTCACTAAACACAAATATTAGTGTTTTAAAACAGTAAAACATATTACAACAATAATATAGTCCATAAAGGTGCCGTTCGTTTGTAAAATATGCAAAAAACTTCACTTTTACTTAAAATATCATTGTTGTAATACAATCTACCAGTTTGAAACACTATTATTTGAGTTCACCGAAGTCTCCTGAGTAAAACAGTACCCCCTGTTGTCTTGGAGAGTTACAGGGTCAAATATAGTGCTTGCGAATTAAATTCTCTGCACTTTCTCCCTGTGTTGTCAGGCATGTCAATCAAATTTTAATTAATCAAATCACATAATTATGTTAAAAGATTACTTAAATATACACGTAGAATTTTAATATATATGCATTTATAAGTATTTAAATTCTATGTGTATACTAATGTAATCTTTTATGTAATTATATATATTTATATATATATCTATATATATATAGATATATATAGATATATATATAAATAGATAGAAAAATCTAAAAAATACCGGCACTCCAGGCTTTCTTCATCCAATTTATTGTATGGTTCCCAAATTGTCAATTTGGGAACCATACAATAAATTGGATGAAGAAAGCCTAGAGTGCCGGTATTTTTTTGATTTTTCTGTATTTATCTGACTTGGCACCGGGTATTGAATTGTTATTTAGTTGGAGTGCAGGAGTTTGTTTTCATTTTATATATATATGTATATATATATATATATATATGCGATTATTTGTATTTTATATATAGAAAGATATATATAGAATGTCATTATGTCATATGTCATATGAATATATAATTTATATTAAATTTTGTTTCAATATTTTATTTATTTATTTTATTATTTTATTTATTTATTATTGTAATTATACATATATATATATATCTATTATATATATACAATATATATATATTATATATATGTAACGTCATTCTAAGTGTATTTTAATACTAATATATGTACTTATATTAATATTAAAATACACTTTTTATGACGTTACATATATATAATATGTATATATATTATATATATAAATACATTTCTATTTTATTTTAAAACATGTCTAACCATTTTTTTTTACACTTCCCACCAACAGGGGGACTGTCTGACATTTCAGACAGTTCCCCTGCTGGCAGATCCACAGCCAGCTATAGGGGGCCATGTGATCGCTCTTTGAGGGCAATCACATGGCCCCCGGGGGCCTCATTTGCTGGGGGAGGGCTGTCTGGGCTGTCAGGCAGCCCTCCAGAGGAGGATCGCGGCGGAGGTGAGTACTGCGGACCTCCAGGGGCTCAAAGCCGTTACGGCGTTCTATGCCGCTGCAACGGCTTTAAAGCCCACTTAATGCGCGACGGCATAGAACGCTGTAATGGCGTTAACGGGTTAAAGAATTTTGATTCAACTTTAAATTTGCTTTTAAATTTTAAATAAATTTTGAATTTACTTGGGATTTTCATTTTAGTGAATAACCATCTAAATGTTGTCTTGTAAAGCCATTACCTTATTCCACTCACGTTTCTCATCAAAGTACATTAGCTCATGTTTTAGGAGTTTTAGGGACACCGATGTCCTTTCTTTTTACATTCCAAGACATTGCCTGGGAAAACATATTGTTTTTAATTCAGTACATTCTATATTATAATTTGTTACTATATCTTTAAAGACGTGCTGCTCCTTGAATTATCAATGAGAACCACAGTGGACGATGCAGAATTCTAGGTCTATGGTCTTGCGTGTGTGTGTGTTCACTAACTCCTTTCTGCAGGCTGGTATTTAATGACTGGCAGTTGCCTTAGTCAGCAGAGGCGTGTATCCAGAGGACTCTTCAGAATCCTGATCAGGTACTTTAGTGCTATGTGACTAAATTCACTAACTTAACTACAATTCAACCAGAGCAGTTTCAGGAAAATGCTTAAAGCGAATGTCAGAAGAGGCAACACTGCACAAAGGAGATAAGTCTCTAACTCCAGGGAAAAACCTTGACAGTTATAGCAATAACACACACAAAGTGTCTCTGCTTCATTATACGTTAGGGCCCCGCAGTACAACGTAAGGAGAAATGCAGTCTTTATGTGTGTTATCCTGTTCATGTACTGGCAGCTTCCAACTAAATAAGATCCACTTAATTACAGGGATTGGTAGGAAAGAGTAGTGCAGTTTAAATATAGTTAATACCACTCACATATATTCGTCAGATGCCAGCATATGCAGATATTACGTCTTTCCTTCTGTAACTATTTTGATATACCGAAAAAAGCACTGTTTTCAATAATATAAGCCCCGCTACAGTATATTGCGTTTCTACATAATAGCTTCATAGTATTTAACCACAAGTGGAGGCAAATGCTGAACTGTTAAAAGTACAAATTATCAATCGCATCATTGTCATTACCTTTGATGTTTGCTGTTTGGTATCAACACTAAAACCATATATATTTAAATTATTTAACCAGAAATAATTTATAAACCAGCTTTCATTAGTTTATAAATACTCTCTGTAACATAGAGGCTATATTAACCAGCTTAATGATACTAAATGTATTGACCTCTGAAGCGTCTGTAGGTCGAACCCAGGAGAAGAAAAGTGCTCACTAGTACGACTAGACCAGGGAGAGGCAATCTTCGGCAGTTCGGATGTTATGGACTACTTCTCTTTGCCAGCATTTTCGCCGTAAGAGCCTACCCCTAGACTAGACACTGCCAAAGGACTCAGAGAGTGAGAATGGTCCTCATAGACATGGAACCTCAGGATTTCATTGGACATTGCCTAGCAATAACAAGGACGTGAGTGCCGGGCAGTAAGGTGGTGGATCTTCACGAGCTGCATAGGCCTGTTCTGCTACTAATTAAAGTTACATTTTTAGGGCAACGGAAATATTTGTGCAGTATTTGTAAATGCAGAAAATTTTGCATATATTATTTATAAGCAGAAAATATACATATGCATTTTTGGACAAATAGCTTCCAATAAAAAAGGGGTCAACTTAGACATCTTAGACATTCTTTTTTTTTTTTTCAGTCGGAGTTAAAAAACTAAAAACTGAACTATAATTAGTGGCATTTTAAAACAACAAATATAGTGGATTAACTAGCCGTCCACGATGCTGCAGCATCAAAGCTGAATCAAATAAAGCAGGTAAATCAAGATAAATACTGGATGAAGCATTGCTTGAAAATAGACAATTAGAAAGAATATTAAATCTATTTAGCAAACAGGCCAGTCATAATCCTGCTGTATTTTATTCTCCATCCTGTCACTTATTTCGCAGTGGAAAGAGGTGGTTATTTGCTAATTCTAGATTTCCATACAAATTAGCTGTCAGTATCATCTCACATTCCTATTAGAATTATCATCTTCGCCGTTTACCAGTGCCAAGGAGTTAATTCACACCCTCCTCAGAAAAGCCATTGGCTCATATTTCACTGGCAAGTATGCTAGTTAGCGCGACCCTTGTCACTTACTAACTTACAGATCAAACTTGTGAAGACATAAGCATCATCACTAGCCTGGATTAAAAAGGAAAGGAAGAAATCATCTTCAATTACATCCCCATTGACCTAAATTCATGAACATCTGTTGGACATGGCAGAAGATTTTGTTTTATATCAGTGCCTACAGTGAAAATTCTACAATGGAATGCTCAGCACCACAGCTACTACAGGAAGGCCCTACCGTGCCTTGTCCTCCCCACCTGCCAGCCTATTTATTTTCTGCAAAGACGAGATGGCCCCACTGACAGTTATGCCTGGTTATAATTTGGATGGACAAATCAATTGCTCGAGAAATGTGTTGTGTTTGTTTTTTTGGTTGCTTTTTTTTTTATACTGACAAACTGTTTCAATTAATAACACTGACACACAGTAGCAGTTGTCTAATTACAAGCTATTATCTGATGTCAATAATGAGAGCTTCGCTGTGTAAATTCAGTGAACTGTTCTTTTCTGGATAATGAAGTAATACTGTACATCTAGACACAGAGACGCGTACGCGCGCACCCTGGTGAATTAGAAACTGTACCGGAATATGGTTAGATTGTGTTTGCGTGTGTTCAATTATCTGAACAGCATTCCATGTTTATTACACAGATGAAAGGGCAGGAGAGTTTGGCTACAAATTTATTAAAACCAAAAAAATGTTGCATACATGAAACATGATGTGAAAGTTGGAGTCTGAGAGTGGCAGAAGTAAAAAGAAAAATTTAAAATATATTATATATTTATATATGATATATATTTTTAAAAAAAGGGAAAAAAAAAAAAAATTCACCTCTCCTGAGTTGTATATATTTTTTGTGTTTTTCTCATTCTCGGGTCCTCTGCCAGAGGCCTGGGAGTTTGAGGGTTCTGCGTAGTATCTAAGCTGTTCCTAGAACTGCACTCTTCTGGACAGCGATCTCAGATGTCCCACCTGGAATCTGCCGAAGCCATTCCCCAAAATTGCAATGATTTGTGGACCCAGGACATACTTGAAAACGAGAGAAATCTCAATGTATCTTTCCTGGTAAAATATTTCATAAATAAATAAAAATTAGGGGTCACAGCCCCGAGGGCTCCTATCACAACTGGGACTACTACTGCCTTCACCTTCCACATCCTTTCTATTTCTTCTTTCAGTCCTTGGTATTTGTCCACCTTCTCATGTTCCTTCTTCCTGATGTTATAGTCACTGTGTATTGCCACATCCACCACCACTGCAGTCTTCCGTTCCTTGTCTACCACCACCATGTCAGGTAATATAATAATAGTAATATAATATATAATAATTATTATTATTAATGTTAATAATACATAATATAGGAATATATTAAAGTGAATGTATAGTTCTATTGGGAAATTGCTAAATCATTTTCTTTCTTTGAAAATAACTTTGGCAAATAAATATTGAGGTTTAGAATGTATTTGATAAATATGCAATAAATGACATATCCCACATATAGTGAATCTACTTCAAGCTTGGGAAGAAGCGTAGAATATTCCCATCTTCCTGCCACATGACACACAACATTTATCTAATTTTAGAAATGCTATAAATATTTTTCATTCAGACGTTTTACAGTAGGATCGAATCAGAAGGGTCTCCGGAATGGCTCTTGCTTGGGCAGCTAAACACTTTGCCTGTCAAACATAATAAAAGCTGTGCTATAAACCTCAATTTTTTTTCCCTCAATTTCAAATGCTTCCACTGGATAAATCTGAAAAACTATTACTTTATGTTAGAGAGAATTTTAGTCCATCACCACGGATTGTCATGATTTCTTTACTTGAGTGTAGCCCTAAAACAAGTACCTTTTTCTTTTGGTTCAGTAATTGATTTGGAGGAATGATCAATATTTAAATGAATAAAAGGGGTTAATCATAATGGTCACGTTCTGTTTATCGGCCAATTTCCATAATTCTTTAAATGGACTCAAAAAGTATTTTATGACATATGTTGTTAGCACTAGAACATAATTAGATTAAATCCTTTTCTGTACATACTGTACACAGTACATACAGCAGATTTTTGGGGGTCCGTAGAGGCCAAAATTAATTACATGAGTTTCTTATTTACTTTCAAAATGATAAAGATGATATAAAATTATTGTGTATCGGGTCATAT